CGAAATTCCAAAACAAATAAACAAATCCTCCTGACAACGTATTTTCAGCTGTAACGATAGGCTTAAGCGTTGGTTGTTTTATATTACTAACTAGGTTTATGCCCCACAGTAGCACGGCAGTATGTCTGCGGACTTACAATGGTAGAAACCGGGTTTCGATACCCGTGGTGGGCAGAACACAGATAATCTATTGTGTAACCTTGTACTTAACTTCAAAACAAACAAACTTTATTACATAGACGAGATTAGGGGAGGGGAAAGGGAGCAGTTACCTTCCACATTTTGTTTTTCTTCTGTGGGATATAGTTTACAAATGACATTCACATTAATTAAGTAAGGTTTTTCTGCCCCCCCCCTCCCCATTTTAGTCCCAAATCTCGTCAAACATTAAATAACATTTTAAAATACTGAACGACAAGAAAACACAGGCTGCAGTTTTTATGATATCTTAGTGGCAAGTTAAGCTTGCGGGCTTATAACTCTCAAATTCAAGGTTCGATTATCCCTTGTGGCGGGCATTATTAAATAGCGTTCGAAAACACTGAACGACGAGGAAACATATCTGACAGTTTTTATTGAGAGTGCTCACTTCCGGTGTAAGGAGAACTGAGTTTTTAGCTATTGATTTTATACAAGTCACACAGAAAATCACGAAAGGTAAGAGATAACCGTTACAGTCGTGTTTCGTAAGTAAAGAAAACTTATTATACACGTATGTCCGTATTAAAGTGTTTCTTTACTCTTTCTGCAATAAAAAACCGTAATTTCATCTAGTGACTATCATTAAAAACTGATCAGAGCAAGTAACCCCTATAAATAAATTTAACCCAGTAATTAATACTACTAAAAATAACACACTTTTTAATGATTCTAAGTATTTGTTTTATGATTTTGTAACGATTAAAATGCATTGATTCTTCAGCTGGGTACCCTTACTGTTAGTAATGTTTTCGGTCGTAATCCCAATAATATCTCACGAGGTTTGCTCAGCTAAGGATATTGTACTTCATGATAAGATCGTTCATAAAAAACACGTTCGTTTGTTTTCAAATTGTTTCGGTAGATTTAAGGATCTTGCAGCAACTTTTCCATAAAACAAACAAAATGAATCTTCTGATATCCGACAGAAAAATACCACTATAAATTATTAAAATATCTTTCCAACAAACAAAATTAATCTTCTGATATCCGACAGAAAAATACCACTATAAGTTATTAAAATGGCTGTCGGATATCAGAAGATTAATTTTATTTGTTGGAAAGAAAAAATAAAAACTATAAGTTATTGAAATATCTTTCCTTTTCTTCAACAGTGATCCTCGATTTAATTGAGACCTGGAGCCCTATTGAAAAAACTACTTCTAAGCTTGAAAATTCGTTTAGAGATGACGATCCATATATAAGTGATTTCAAAGTGGGGGATGTAGGGGTTAACTCTTTCTCTGGGGCACAAAAGACAGAAGCCAGAACTGTTCCTGGAGTGGTAGATATAGAGATTAACTCTTACTCTGAGGCACAGAAGCCAGAATCCAGAACTGTTCCTGGAGTGGTAGATATAGAGTTTAACTCTTACCCTGAGGCACAGAAGACAGAAGCCAGAACTGTTCCTGGAGTGGTAGATATAGAGATTAACTCTTACCCTAAGGCACAGAAGACAGAAGCCAGAACTGTTCCTGGAGTGGTGGATATAGAGGTCAAATCTTACTCTGAGGCACAGAAGCCAGAATCCAGAACTGTTCCTGAACTAGAAGCTGTGGAAGTTAAATCGTCGTCTAGGATAGAATTTACAGATGTTCCTACAGTGGAGGCTGAAGAAGCTGAAACTTCACTTAGGCTATACAACGAAAAACTACAAGAACAATTAGTCTCAAGTGAAACAATGACATTTTTTCAACCAAGTCCACACAGTTCAAAAGTTAGCCAGATATCTAACTTTGGAGAACAAAAACTTTTCAATCCCATATTTAACTCTCGGAAATTTCTGGAGCTACGTGAATACGAAAATGGATCGAATAATCTGACAGAAAAATCTGAAGTTCAAGAAAAGTTAAAAACTATTTTCAAAAATCGCCCCAGTAAAATTGAATTAAAGAAAATTTTAGAATCAAAAGATGGGCAGGAATGGTTTTCAGATATGCCAGAAGTTCCTCAATCTAAGGTTGAATTAAAAGATGGGGAGGAGTATTTTTCAAGAATTCCAGAAGTTTCCGAGTCTAAGGTTGGGTCCAAGAATGAACAGAAATGTATTTCAAACATTGCCGAAGTTCTTGACTCTAAGATGGAACAAAAAGGTGGGCAGGAGTATTTTTCAAGAGTTCCAGAAAGTCCAGAACTACAGACATTTGAAGAAGTCCAACAAAGAACAGCAGAGGAAGATTATGGTAAGTCAGCGTTGGTTATTCCTCTAAGTGAGAGACCAAAACATCATTTTCATATGAAAAAGAAGGGCAAGTGTTTCTTACACTGGTCATCTTTAAAAACAAAAACCAGGTCATAAATTAACGAGGTTCTGAAGAAGTGTATGATAAGTAAGATTACGATGTACTAAAATTATGAAATTGTGTTGAATAGCCTAATAAATATATTTTATAATAATGACAAATAATATATCAATTATCGACTCGAGAATTGCAATTAATAATTGGTTTTATAATCTAATAATAGCTCAAGCTAGTTAATTGTTAGGAAATATATCAAATGATATGTTATTAATCTAATCCAGTGTTTTCCAAAGTGTAACCTGCGACACAATAGTGTGTCTCGAGTAAATGCCAATTTTCTGCAACCGTTTAGAAAATAAACAATTACAATAAATACGTTAAATAACGTTTACAGTGTGGTGTAGGTCAAACCTATCTTGATGTATTGAAGGTTACTGTAAACAAATCTGTTAATGAAGCATTAAATATATTAGCACCGTGAATCTAGATAGAGATTACGGAGGAAATGCTGACGATTACACTATATTCAAAGTTAAAACAAAGTTATGGGCGTGAAATTCTTAAACACTAATAATAGCTTGCGTTACTTTCATTTAGTTTCCGATTATCTTATCTTAAAAATGAATTTGTATACGAATAATGTCGAAACTTTAAAATTTGTCAAGTGTAGTACAATTTTTAGGCAGTAGATGGCGCCGCGATATGATAATACTGTCAACACTTTCAAAGATGGCTGCTTTACTAGTTAATGTACAAGTGAGCGTAGATGTACTGTTATGTTTTTAAGTTAAACGCTTAAAGTTAAGTCTAATAATTCATACTCTGCTATAGTTTGAAAAACATACAAATTTGTAATCTTATTTCAAGATAGCTTTTTTATGCGGAAACATCTGTTAGCTGAGTTCTTAAAATATAACGTTGATAATGTGCCGATGTTTCCGTTTATCAACGTTATATTTTAAGATCTGTATAAGAACTTAGCTAACAGATGTTTCCGCGTATAAAAGCTATCTTCAAGTTTTGTAGACCAAAAAAACTTTTCAAAACTTATTTTACCAATTTTATTTCGTATTCCATGTATCTGAAATCTGTTATCGTTATAGACATAAGCTATCATTCTATGATAATAGGTTACTTAAACATGTACCGTGTTATCATATAATATGAATATACCTATTCAATGATTATCCATTGTGCCACAGAACAAGA